TATGTAAATTTAAGTGATCTTCAAGCATAGAAAGAGGATTTGCCGGAGTGATGTGCGTAGCTTCAATCATGTTCAAAAAAAATTTTTTTTTTGCAGTCATAGTGTGACGATTTGAAATTTGGAAAAATATCGCCCAAAACTTACTGGTACTTCTATTTTCTTGGAAGCAAGCTCCTGGAACTACCTGAAAGCAGCTGAAAATGATTTATAGCCTATCAGGTCTATGATTAGGTCGACGCAGCGATCTATACAAGGAAATTACTGGTTACCGAAAAAATTCCGTTATTTCCTTCTGTTTTTTCTTTACTGCCCCCCCCCCTATCCCAGAGGGTCCAGTCAAGGTGCAGAGGGTTCAAAAGTTCTTCTTTGCGCTCGTCACACTTAGCATGCATTTAATTTCTTACTTTTTGAGGATAATGAGGGCATGCATCATCTGATCTCACTTTTTTTAATCCACGAATCTGTTCCAAAGGTTATGCTGCATTTGTGCATTAACATTTTAGCAGCTTTTCATCATTGGCTATTTAGGGTATGAGTTGATATCATTGGGAGATTAATCTTTTCTCTGATAAGGTGAGATTACCCAGGTTTTCTTAGCGCTTAGTTCCCATTCATGAAAGAGGAAAGATTAAGAATAGAGCTGAACTCTCCGCAGTAAATGACGAGTGCCTAAAAAAAGATTCAGGGTATAATTTGAGTGAAATGACACCTTTAGAGGCCAATCGCCTTGGACTTATGAAACCTATGAGATCACGTTATAAATAATTAAATGTGATAATCCCTCCCCGCCCTTTGCCCCCTCCCCTTGCTTTTTGCAAAACAGAGAATTTCACAAGTATTCTTCCGATCCATACTCTTCAATGTTTCTTTTTTCTTCGTTCGGGTTATTGTATCAGCAGCGCGGATCTAAAGACAACAACATGGCATGAGAATGGCAAACTTTGTTATAAGATGTGTTGGTAAGCGATCAGAAATTACCTCTAAGCCATATGGACAGTTTCTTCATTTGTAAGGCAATATATGTATTGCACAACGGGCGCGCTAATCTACGGCGCTTACATTGTCAATTTTCGAAATCTTCTTTCGCTTTCTTCACTTTGTGAGCGGGAGTATCTATGCAACACTTGCTACTAACTACTTGTCAGAGTGTTATTTCCATTAAAGGATAATTACCGACATTGTACGTAAGTGCCGTAAGATATCGCGTGCTGTGTGCAATCTCACATATTAGGTAACAAATGACGTCACTACACCCGCTACCTACACCTTGAAGCCAAATCACATTTATGATGTCATGGAGTTAGTACTTTCTCGTCTCCATGGATCCCATCCGGGTTTGAGAGTTTAAGCTGAAAAGCCTCAAACACCTGAACTGCCCGAGTGAATAACCATATTGGTTAGAGGTAGTGCTCATCCAGGATGCGGATGGTGTGATTTCAATGCTGTACGATAGCGGGGTCCCTAACTAAGCATTCGCTCAAGTCCCGTTGCAAAAGATGCATTCCCAAGCGAGGAAATCGTCCCAGAAGGTATTAGCGCCCTAGGTAGCTCCGCCCATTGACGTGGGTGTCTAAAGTTAACAACAAAATTGGGCTCTGGTGTATCTAGGTTTGTGTTATATCTGCCTTCCTTATGGTTATTCAACTTTGGACATTTCTATCTACACTGAAGCATTTTTTCGAGCTTTAATCTTCAGGCCACTCACTATGATGGGCGGGGCCACCTTGGCCACGTTAGCCTTCTAGAGCGACTTCCTCGCTTCGAAATTCATCTTTTGCAGCCCAATTTGAGCTATGGCTTATTTAGGGGTCCCGCTATCATACAGTATCAAAATCTCACTACTCTTAGTATGAGTGGGCCCTACCTATGAAATAGCCTTGCAAAAAAGTTAGTTTACTCCATCAACTAAGGTCACTTTGCAACTTAATGATCATCAACGCCTCCCAACACCTGGTAGATGACATCAACGCTCTCAGTGTATCGACGATCGAACCGGTCGACGACATCGTCGATCGGTCTACGTCGAGTCGAAGATGCCGTCGACTGCTGAGAGTAATGTTGATGTATCGCCCCCCTGTCCAGGCACATGTTCACTTTCGCTCCGTTATGTCTTTCGCGCATGCTCCCAGCCCCATTTATCATTGCGCATTCCAGCCAGATTGTGGCGCGAAAATATCGTTTTGGGGGTAAATTTGGCGTATCTGGCACAAAATTAGGAAAAGAAATTGTGCGAGGTTTTTTCCGAATTATCATAAACAGGTATAAGGCCAACAAACTGTGCGAAAGGAGAGGCAGATGGGTTACAGTTACAATAACTGGCTCGTTCTTGCGGAAATTTGATGTCTTTCGGAGATTTCATTCGAACGAGAACTGGTCCCCTCGCCGTATAGGGATGGACGCCCTT